AAGTCCTCCATTGCCCTATATACACCCAGGGCCTGGCCCAGAACCCGCGCATGGGGCCCTGGGGACCTTGTCAGTGACTGAGTGGGGCGGAGGGGTGCTGGGGGCCTGCCCACTGGGCTGTGTGCTCTGAGCACTGGCACCTGCGTCACTCCTGCAGGCTGGGCACACAGTAGGAGCTCTCCGTCGGGACTCGGAGGTGGCCAAAGGTGCTGTGAGGAGCCGGGAACGCCTCCTTACTAATTCCAGCCAAAGCCCAAGAAGAATCAAAGGAAGGGGATGCGGAAGCCCTTGAAGCCAGACAGTGGCAGTCAGGCCGATGGCTTCGTTTAGAGCAGTTCAGAGGAGGCAGAGCCCAGAATCACTTGAAGCCCGCCTCCAGGGCCTGGCGCTCGCCCGCCTCCAGCGGTGGGGTGACACTGGGGAGGGCTGTTGGTCCCACTGCAAATGGGTCACTTGGGAAAGGTGCATGGTCCCCACCCCCACTGGCTGCCTTCAGGGCACAGAAGTGGGGAGGACGTATCTAGAGGGAAACAAAGAGAAGGTGAGTCAGTGAGAGGGAGGTGGTGGCCGGCATGAGGACAGACAGAAGGAGGCGATGGAAGTGGAGAGACCCCAAGAAAGGGACAGGGAGCTGAACGTGTCCCCTCCCCGACAGGCTCCCCGACCTGCACGCAGGGCTCTGCCATCTGGCTGACTTAGAGCCTTGGGGACCCTAGCAGGAGACTGGAAGTGAACGGAGGTGCTGGGTGGCCAGTCCCCAGGCTCCTCCCCCAGAGGTCACCATTCCTGTCAGCTGGCCTTTCCACACAGCCACCTTGGTCCCCAGACTGAGGTAGCTTCTCCTCTCTGTGCCCTGCAGGCCCCGAGGTGGGAACAGCCAACTGCCACTAGACCCAGAGTGCAGCCCCTCTGCCATGGGTCCCGCTTTGTCAAGAAGTCCCTTTATTAATTTCAAATGGGCATGCAACCTGCTTTTTGCCTGGCCCTGGCTTCTAACTTTGAGGCGAAAGGGACAATGTGGGGGAGAAAGGCCCTGGCCTCTGATGTGGGAGGCTTGCATCCCCTCAGAGGTCAAAGAGCCAGGCTGGGTGGGGCACCCTCCGGAGCAGCCGCCCCCATGCACCTGGCACTCACGGCTGGCTGTTTCCTGAGTGTGTCTCTGGGCTGTTGCAGCTGTCCCCAGAGGACGGCCCTCTGCTGACTGCACGCCAGTGTCCGGACTCCAGGCCCTATTTTTAGAATGTGGGATAACTTTCTCCCAGAATAGACAAGACAGGCTAATCCAGGAGGGAGGCCTCGGAGAGATGAAGACATTGAGTCTAGATATGAATTAGCCGCAAGTATATTATTTGAAGAAATGTTGAACAGCTAGGCAAATATTTGATACCTT